AGTGAAATAGCTTTTTTGTGTGGTTAGAAAAGTAATGGCTGAAAAAAACTTTTTATTTGAACGGTTATTTTGTTTGATTGAATAAAAAAAACGTTTTTTGTTTGATTGCATAAAACTTTATATTCTCCATATTTATGAACTACGCTAGACAGGAAGTGCGCACTCAAAATAAAAGCGCAAAGCTTAAAACCGGAAGTAAACCATTTTACTGCAAAATTTTCAAAAACAAATGTGCATTTACTTCTGCTACAACTAAATATGCTTGTGGTTACACACACCTTACCTTTATAAACAGATTTAATCTAACTTAAAAAATATTACAATTACTGTATGGAATAAAAGCAGTTCTGTTCATGGCATAATCCCATGAGGACCATGGTCGGGGGGACCTGTGGCCACAGGATTTCAAAGGGAAATGTTTTACTTTATCCATTTTTAAGATGTTCAGTTCAAGCATTCAAGTGGTACTTTTATTTTGTAGTAGTATTTCCGCCGCTTCGTCTCAACAACGAAGCACGACACTGCTGCGACCCCTTTAAGAAAAGGCACCAGCGTATTCGTTACCGTGACGACGAACAGCTACAAACCCTTTCTGCAGGRGTCGCGTGAAGTTCGCACGACGTAGAACAAATTTTAGTTTCTAAATRGAGACAAAAAAGTAACTTACAACTCTAGAAAACACGGATAGAAGTGGAGAAAAGCGGGGTTTAACCGAAGTGGTCGCTTCCTGGTTTGGCAGGTATAGCCCACAGCGGCTGCTCTATCAATAATAAATGAAAACTACCTGTCTGAACACCTGTTCTTGGTGGTTTCGTGCAGGAGTATTTGACGATGTTCTCTGTGTGAATACAAACTTCTACAGGAATAACAACAAAATGAGCAAGAAGTATCAGTCAGCAAACATCTCGGAGGTGGAGAACCACATTTCTCTCAAATATGAAATTAAGAAGAGAATTGGGAAAGGGGTGAGTGATTTTTTTATTCACCATGTTACAATTTTTCTACAGAAAAATCCTGCTTATTGCTTCAGTTATTTTCATCTAAAGAGAATTCCTGACATTCTCCTGACTTGACTCAGTTAAGCGGTTTATTTGGCAGCAGATTTTGTGTTTTTGCAGATCAGCTGAACATTGTAGCTTTACAGCTCGTTTGTTTTTACTCTCCACTGCTGGTCTGTGGTTGGCGTCCTGGTGAATATGATCCACGGGCCTCACTGTGATAACAGTGAATTCTGAWGCCCTGCCTCAAGTCTTTTTCTACCTTTGCACCACAGCCCTCAAGACAAGACACGAGAGGCCTGCAGGTCCAAGAGGCCACCTGATGAAACATACTTTTTTTTTTCTGTCTCAGGCCTACGGCATCGTATGGAAAGCTGTTGACAGACAGACTGGGGAGGTTGTGGCAGTGAAAAAAATATTTGATGCTTTCAGAAACAGAACAGACGCCCAGGTGTGTGTGAGTGACATAAAATATCAAACTGTATCAAAACTAAGGGCCAAATGTGACCCACCACAGCATTTTGTGGCCCCCGACAGTTTCAGATATGTATTAATGTTTTAAAATACTGACAAAAAACTAYATCTCCCATAATACATATCRATTATTTTATCCACAAAATGACTGCRTCCCACSACTGGAGCTGCACGGGCTTCAAAAGTAGCCTGTGAAGTTTGCCTGGTAAATCTCCATTTAGCTGCATTTTTGCAAGCTACTTTTGCTGCRGCCCAGTTGTGCTGGGAAGTTGCAAGTCATACATTTAAACTGGAAGTATTTCTGTTTTATTTATTTCACRTTTAGCSAGTCATACACATAGTATTTTTCAGTGTATATAAGAGGACATGTTAAAACACTGTTTCTCTGCATGAAATACTATGTAGAGCTTAGTTATTATTTGTTAGCTATGCTCAGCTAGATCAGGGAGAAAAGGAACGYGATGTTTCATGTTTAGTTGAAGTTAAACATGAAGTTAATTACAATTGGCCCTATTTAGCTTTAGCTATTTAGTATTTAGCTTCATAAATAACCTTGTGGCTGGTCCTCACTTGTCTGCAAACCTTCATATGCATTCTGTAAAAACTTCACCTTCAACGAAGGCATCTAATTATTAACTAGATCACTTTGTTTTTAAGTTTATAATTTCTTTAAAGTTCACATCYTAACTACAATGTTTTGCTTTGCTTTGTTTTTTACAGCGAACATTCAGAGAAATCATGTTTCTTCAGGTAATAATATCGTCCACATGAAACAACCTCCATAACTGTCGAGCTTCAGTCTGTGCCCACAATCATTATCAGTCTACAGTATACATACAGTCGTTCCCAGAATATAACATTGGCAGATACTTACAACTATTGCTATTTAAAGAGTGAAAATGTTGCTAAGAAATAAGTTTAACAAATACATACTTGTAGCAATCAATTCAAAATTTTGTTTGATTTCTGTAAATTAGCCCAAGAMCTCATGGAGTTTGATGACCCACAGTGAAGTTCCATCCTCCACTTTGTGAACCACTGGTTTTAATGTATGTTGCTTTAAGGTGTTAATAGTTTCCTTTGAGAACATTTTGTGGTGCCAATGAATAAGACAGCCTTTTGGAAAAAAATATATATACAGCAGGTAAAATAAGTATTGAACATGTCACCATTTTTCTCAGTAAATATATTACTAGAGGTGCTAATGACATGAAATTTTCACCAGATGTCGGTAACAACCCAAGTGATCCATACATACAAAGAAATCAAATCATAAATGTTCAGAAATGAAGTTATTTGTAATAATGTGTTTTGAGCAAAAATGTCATTTTGGATGTGGTTTTATATGACTTTAAAC